AGATACATTAATAGTGCTGATAGAAGCAGAACAATTGGAATTTATATTAAAAATAAAAGTGATGAATAAAAAGCAATACACTATAATATTAAGAGTCTTCATTTTGCTTCACCAGTAAATACTAAAGTATAAAGGACAAAAATACTGAAAAGGTTGAGAAAAAAATGAAAAAAAAAGAACAAACTGTAAAAAAATGACACTGAGGTCTTGGTTTAATACATATGTATTTCGGGTTGATGGTTGATTTCATTAGCAAATCTCATTGTTATGCAATGTCTGTTCTTCTGCAGCAAAATGAATATTGTATTCTCACAGGCGCTGTGTGTATCTATGATATTGCAAAAATGAAAATATATACATTTGTAGCTGTTTTGGCTTACTCTTTCCATTTTGTTATTAAGGAAAAGAACGAAAATTGAATTATATTCTTTTCTTTTGTTGTTAAATTTGTTCAAAAGCCTTTTCAATTTATATTATGGATATGTTTCCTACTTTTGTTCTCTGAAATAAACAGAAAGTGGTTAATAATGTAACCATGTTAATTATTCTATAATTTTATAAATGAATAGATTGTAATCTTGAGTGACTTAAGCTGATAATATGAACTACTTAGGCATATGCTTTCTAACATTTTTAAATGTTAGGAGTGGTTTTTCATAATTAATACAATAAAATATATTAAGGAAGTATACATATTATGCTAAATCTAAAGACTGCTACTTTTGCAATAGCAAAAATTGTATGTTGACATTACTATACTAAGATTTGAGTTTTCATAAAATAGGAAATTCAGAAATAACAAATTTCAGTGGCTACACATTGAAGAGTTTATTTAATGATAAAAAAGTAATAGGCTGTATGATTCTTATGTAATGAGGTAAAATATGGATTAAATTGTATCAGACACAATTGTCATTTAATTTTAGCTATTTTGAGGTCTGACAAGAGTTTACAAAATATATTCAGTTTTTGGTAGTGCTCTCAAAAGTTGTCCTCACAATTGAAATTCTTTTGACAAGCTTTACAATAGAAAAGTCCAAAGTTTGATTAAATATGGGTTGATTGTATACCATGAGGAAATTATTTATATGGTAAAAATTTGACTTCTATTTTGATGTAATCTTGATGTAATCCTAATAAATATCTTGGCTATGTTGAACAAACATGAGCTATTATAAATATATACAGCAGTTTATTAATGCACCATATTAAGTTAATTTGTACTTAGAGTATTTGCTACATATTGAGCATTTTATTATTCACAATGGGTAATATAAAAGAAGGAATTTCAAGATCTAGTAAGGGAAACCCCCCACCCCCAAATAATTATAGAGTAATACAGAGCTAAATCTTGTAGAGAGAGGAGGTTTTATGGGCCAAAATAGTCAGGCTCTGAGAAAGGGGCTTCCTGGAAGTGATGAGAACTAAACTGATAATGAGGCAGGGGAAGCAATGGGAAACAACACAGAATAATCTGGAAGGTAGGAGGACATAAACTTGGCATCTTTGGGAGACAGAGAGGAGACCAACACAATTATAATGAAGATATAATTTGCTACTACCTACTTAACCTCACATGAAAGTCAGAGTGTAGCATTGTTAAATTTCACTAGTGTTCAGTCCGGATACTGTATTGCCATGCTACTACCATGGTGAACCTTGTTTTTCTTGCACAAGAAAATGGGAGATTGGAAAGTCCCTTTACATTAATTTCTCTGTCTTTTTTACCCCACCAATAACATAAAGAGTAAATGCTCTCAAAGTATGCAGATGTGAATCTAAATTGGTACAGACTGAATGTGAAGAAAGAGTCAGATTTCTCTACCATAGTTAGAAATACCAAACTGAGGAGGAATAAAAATCATCATAGATTAGGCACCCAGGCTGTTGAATTGAGTAGGAGTATAGGTGCTATGAAAAGAGGAACTCTTAAATTAAAAACAGAAATCCATTTTAAGTGTCTGGACTTAGCTACCAGTGTCTTCTATTTTGCCTGATCTGGAACCATATTTATCCGTTGCATGCCCATTTTTAGAAAATGGAATATGAACTTGGAATATGAAAATGGATTGAATTTAACAAAAGATCCTGGGGATTGTTAGTGAATGTTGAAAGACCCAGATTAAATTGGCAGAAGACTCCTAGAGAGAGTGCATATTTTCTGGGTAACCTTTCATTATGTTACAACTCTGGCGTGCACTGAGGAAATGTTAAAAGAAACTTATATATGAAGTTTTTAAAAAATTTTCTGTAAAGATGCTGTTGAGAAAACTATTGTGCGGTCCAGTGTTGCATTATTCAAAAGTGTGAAAGAAATTCCTCTCAATTCTGAGTACTAGGAAAAGCTTGGAGCTTGTTTGCAAAATACATCTTATGGAGAATGAGAATTTTGTAATTTGATCTTGTTACCCACTTTGCTTTGATTACTAGGAAGCACAGCTGAACCACCCACATCATAGACTTGTGCAAGAACTTATGATAGGCATTCCTGTGTTCCAACTTTACCCTGTGTTTCATCTTTCTCCCTTCCTCTTATTTTCCCTTTATTCATATCAAGTTATATTTTAAAGGCATTCTGTATTATTACTCATAGTTCCATAAGTCACCTTAAATTAGGTTGCAGTAAGGTGGATTACAAATAACCATATAACATTTATTGCAGTATAAGACAGGTAAAAGTAGGAGATTTTCTTCCTCCTCTTGTCCCTTCCCTTACCTCCCCACTTCATTTTCCACGTATTTCTGAAGTCGTGGAAGACTGATCTCTGGCTTCTTGGACTAGCCAGGGGGCAGGGGAGTTCTTCCTGAGGCTTTTTGCCTGTACAGAACCACCAGATACAGTTGGTTGTGCTGAGTTTGCCTTACACAAGAATGCCTGACTGAGAGGACAAATAGGGCTGTAATATATTCTAGAGGAGGGAAGGATGCCATTTTCTCATTTGTCAGCTCAGAGGGGTAGTCGTTTTTTAACTCATAGGCTGCCATATATGCGTGTATTACCCTGGTTTTTGTCCCTTTCCTTTTGACTGAATTGTAAACTCTTAATACCAAAATTTTCTGACTCTTAATAAAAGTCACTTTAAATAAAACAAAATATCAAACTAATTTTCTGTACCTCTTTACCTTTTTATCATTCTCTAAATTTGACCCATTATAGAAAATTAAGATGGTCATGGATCTTTGAAACAATTGAAATAATAATTTTCTAATTTAAAATTTTATTTTGTTTTGGTATATGAATTACATAGTCAAAGCTACCTATGTAGTAGGACTAACATCTTAAATTTTCTGCAGTGGAAATAAGCACTATGTTTTGCATTCCAGGTTAACTATAGGATATTTTAATTATTTAGTTTGACCAAGAAACTTAGCTGGAACTCTTAACTACTTAGTTATAGTTTTCTGAAAATTTGCTATCTATTTCATGTGTCACTGTAGTAAAAGTGGTGATTAGTGATGATTGCAGTTTGTATTGATGTGGTTCAATACTGAATACATACTCTTTTGACATGACACATTATTTTGAGATTCTGTATCCTTGGCACAGTCTTATCTGTTTGGTGCTTTTTGTTATTATTGTTGTCATTGATTTTATTGTTATTTTTGTTGTTATTGATTTTATTGTCATTCTGTTCTGTTTTGTTTAATATTTCAGTGCATTAGAACTTTATTTTGCAAACTGAGTAAATATAAACCTAATTTAAGTAGTACAACTTTAATGTCTTGACCTGATTATATTGTTCTAAAAGGGTTTTTAAGAGCTCCTGGCATTAAAATTAAAGCATACTGTGTTCATACTAGTTAGGACACACTTGCATGGCCTTAGTAAATATAGAATTTTTAAGATCAATGCAAATTTTGCAGATTTTAAAATTACCTAGATATTTTTAAAATAGTGAATTAGTTTATCATTTTGATGGAGTCGGATTTTTTATTTGTTTTATACCCACATTTAATTTAAATAAACCTTCATTTCAGCTGTATCAGAAATTGCAGAGCGCAAAAAAACCCAGCAATTTGGGGGATAAAAACTAAGGACAAGGAAACTTAGTTTTCAAGTTAACAATTTTTTTTCCTAATGCTCACAATTAAATATTTTGAGTTTAAAATGATGTAGGAATAGCTTCAAGTTATATAAACTTTTTGATTCAAATGATTGCGGTTTTTTTTCTAAGATTGCCACATAAATTATAAAGTATAGTCTTATTTTGCAGGAGGTTGTCCTAATAAAAATAGACTATGCTTCTACTAAAAATTTTAATTTTCATCTTTTATTATAACTCTGAAATTTCTTTCATCTACTTTCTTGAAGCAGTTCAAATTTAATCTTTTCTTTACATTTAGCAGGTTTTTGAACAGTTATTCTTACTTGTTTTTTAAAATCTTGTTAGCATTGCCTGGTTTTACAGTTTATTTGCCAGAACTAATTTTTGAAACCTGCTTAAACAGTGTCAGTTTTCAAGCATTCCTTATTATAAACTGCCAGTTTATGCATTTCAGGAATAAACCTTCCTTTAAAAAGGAAGAAAGAAAGACAACTCTTTCCTTTATTGTCTGTTTTGATATTAAAACAATTAAGTAAAGAACGATTACTTGAGACATCAACCTTACCTGGTTTAGTATTGTCACGTGAGCGTTCGTGTTTACTGGTGATCTAAGTGCTCCACCTGTCTTTCAGTTTGTTTACCAGGAAATCAAGATGTGTAAACTGCAGGAAGTACTATTTGACCCTCTCCGACAGTATCTCATTACAATAATTGCTAATCTCTGAATAAGACAGCCATGTTTTGTGAGTAACTGAGAAAGAGAGGTTGTGTTAGGTAGATTTTAGGTGTTTCAACAAATAGAGCATTGTAAATGCTTACTTGGATTATGTTTTCATGATAGTTTTTGATAAAAGACATTTGGTGACCTTTGGGGTCAGGAAAGCTAGGACACAATAGTAGGTATTCTTTCATGCCTTTTAACTGAAAAATATCACGGCTTGTTGTCTTGAAGTGCTGTCACTGCTCTGAATCGAAAGGATAATGGCTACTTCCTGATTAAACCCACTCTCCACAGTAAGCTGTTAATGTTATACTGTATGTCTTCTTCTCCTGTAAATGCAAAAGTATTTTGGTGTTTTCTTTACGTTTTATCATTGTCTTTTCATAGAAATATGTCTTATAAATATATTCTGAAGTTGAAGTTTACAATTAGAATAGAAACTACTGTTTTAAGTTTGCAAGATTTTTTTTAAATGAAAAAGTATTTCTGTTTGCTATCTTAAATTCAGTCATCTCATACTTATTGTAGATTTTGATTAAAGAAATTAGCTATGTTAAAAGACATTGAAATGATAAATTATATTAAGCTGACACTTAATTCTGTTTACATATATTGCCATAATATGTTGATAATTCTTTTAATTATTAAATTAAGTTATTGTTCTTAAATTAGTTAAGAGATCCTTGTGATATAAAAATAATGTTAAGTATTCAGAATATGAGAAGGGAATAAAGATCCAGCTTAATTCTAATCCTAAAGCTGGCAGTCACTCCATCTGTGGTCTTGGGACAATCATTTAAACGGCTTACCTCAGTTTTCTTGTCTGCTATCCATATGAGTGCTTAGGTAAAATGTGCATATTTATTTCTTTATGGTAGTACAAACTATGAAGACAAATTTCACAAGTATTTTATAAAATGGAGAACTGACTCTAGATAGGAAAACATTAGGAGTCACAATAGACAGAGAAATTATGGAAAAAATTTATAGCTTTAAAATACCATTACACTGGCCTTTTAATTTGGATAGAACTCTTAGTTTTGCTCAGTCTTTAATATGACATTACCAAAGGAATATACATTGTGTTGGATACATGATAAAATGAGAAGTAGAAAGCTTAGACGTGACTTAGTAAAGAGTCGCAAATATACTTAAAATTATTTAACTTTCTCAAAGGCTTATTTCTGAAAATGAGATTATTTAAAGTAGAGGGAAGAATGTGTATATATATTGTAGGCCTATAAAGTGTAGGTGATCTACATAGCAAGATGTTTAATTTTTAACCTCTAGTATTAGGTGTTTCTGTTATATAAAAGAAAACATAAAATTATTAAAAACTGAAAGTTACTGAAGAAGGTTATAGAACCTAACATCTAGAAATATTAAAAAATATTCTGGGATAATGTAAATAGATTCCCACTTTTGTTGAGAGAATTAAAATTCTTTTGCAAAATTCTTAATGAAATTATTTAGATAACTCAATGATTTTTAACATAAATTACTGCTGCATTCTAAGGAGATTCTAAAGATTATGTTTAGTGAATGTTTTAGCTTAGTCAAGGTATCGAAGTAAAACTTGTAATAGTGCCTATATTTTAATTTATAGTTACAAGTAATAGATTTCATTTATTGAATGCTCACTTTGTGCAAACCTCTGGGCTAATTTATTTGTGGTAATCATATAAGGTATAGGTACCATTACTACTTTTATTTTTATTGATAAGGAAATAGTTGTAGAGAATTTAAATAGTTTGATCAAGATCTTTTAGCCAGTAAGTGCCACAGACAGACAAAAAACACTAATAGAATTCAGAATCCAAAACTCAGTCTCCAGTGTCATACCTTTACGCATTGTGCTTATATTTTGGAGATAGTAAAGTGCTTATACCTTTGATTTAGATGGTTTTATTTTTTCATCAATTTATCAAATTTTATGGAGTACCTACTAAGTATCACGCACTATAATGAAGTACAGGCAATAACAATAGAAAGCAAAACAAAATCTCTTGTCTCATGTCTTGTGGAAGAGGCAGAAAATATTAACAGGCTGTTGCAGTGCAATGTGATAACTAGTTCAGTGGAGGTAAGCACAGGATACTTAAAGGCACAAAGGAGCGATATCCAGTATATTATTTTATTTACATATTTCATTTGCATTTCTTGTGTGCTGTTCTAGGTACAAGGGAAATATCAGTAAATCTTTCAAAGATAAATACTCTGCTTTTATGGAACATAAAGTAGGGGTGGCGATAAACAATAAACATAATAAATAAAGTATGTGGCGTGTTAGGAGGCGATAAGTGTTATGGAGTAAAGAAAAAGGAGCAGGATAAGGAGGATATGGTGATGATAGGGTTCAGGAGCTGAGGGAAGACTCACAGAGAAGGTGATATTGAGCAAAGACCAAGGAAGTTAGCTATGTGGATACTTTTGGGAAGAGCCTTCCTGCAGAGACCATGAGGGAAGAACATGACTAGTATGTTCAGGGAATGAATGGAGGCCATCGTGATTGGAATAGAGTGAGGTAGCGGGAGAGTAGGAGGACGTATTGTAAAAAGTAATGGGTGGGAAGGTCATTCATGTAGGGCCTTACAGACCACTGTAGAGACTTTGAGGAACCATTGCAGGGCTTTCAGTAGGTCTGGCTTGTATTTTTAAAGGATCACTCCAGTTTCTATGTTGAGAATAGACTATAGGAAAGCATGGACCACAAGATAGAAGGCTCTTACAGTAATCTAAGTGAGAGAAAGTAGTGGGTTGGTAGCAGTTAAATTCTAGATGTTTTTAAGGTACAATCAAAAAGATTTCCTGGGGCTGGCCCGGTGGCGCACTGCTACAGTGCGCCGCTTGGGAGCGAGGCGGTGCTCCCGCCGAGGGTTCGGATCCCACATACAGACCGGTTCCCGCTCGCTGGCTGAGCGGGGTGCAGGGGCAACACCGAGGGTTGCGATCCCGTTGCCGGTCCTGGCCCGGTATGGGCGTAACACTGAGGGTTGCGATCCGTTGCCGGTCACGAAAAAAGACAAAAAGACAAAAAAAAAAAAAAAAAAAAAAAAAAAAAAAAAAAAGATTTCCTGATGGACTAGATGTGAGATATGAGAAAAAGAGGAGAAAAGAAGACTGTAAGGTATTTGGCTGAGCCTTTGGAAGGATGGTGTTGCTGTCAGCTGTGAGATGAGAATGGTTTTCAGGTGAAGCAGGTTTGGGATGGGGATGGATAATGAGGACTTTGGTTTTAGATGTGGTATATTTGAAATGTCTAGTAGATATGCAACTGGAGATGTAGGAAGGCTTTAAAAAGGAGATACAATCTAAATTGGGATTGAAGGATGAAATGGATTTATCTAGTCAAAGAGGTGGTTTGTAATGAAATTTGAGAACATTCACTATGTACTAAACACATCTTGGCATTATCTAATTTACGTATTTGCTAACTAGAGTAACATCTAAACATCTAAAAAGTAATAACATTTAAAAAATTATAAAATTATTTATCTGAAAGAACAAATAATTCTGAGTGGTCAAGTTTTCAGAGTATTTCAGTGACTACTGTATTCATGAGTTGTATTGAGTTCTTTTACATATGTTGATTTGCACCACAGCACTGTAAGGTAAATAATATTCCCATTCTGCATCTGGAGAAAGTGAGTATGAGGGAGATTAATATTGCCTAAGGTCATTGATATATTAGGTGATGGGTCAGGCTTCAAATCCAGGTCTTTAGATTCCAAAATGTATGATGTTAAAGTTAAAAATGGTTTAAACTTCTGTTTGATGTCTCAAGGAATTATCCTTTTGAACAGTAGTTATCGTTTAGTATTGTAACACAATGATACACTTGGGCCATGAGGTTTGTAGATTCTTGATCATGGAGTCAAGCCATTTGTTGGTCTTTTTTGAATTCCTACACAGCTTTCAGCACAGTTATCTGTTATAGACACTCCCTTCACTCCTGGCCCTCTCCCCATGTGTAGTGCTTTCATAAGTGCTTACTAATTTACAACTGCTATCATCGTCATTGTTATTCCTCTTTCTAATATGCTGTTACCTTGGGAATTATAACCCAAGCTTTTTGGAATCATATAAATTATAAAACCTCAGAGATTAAGGGCATAAGTACTTTCTAATTAATGAAGAATGGGTTTTAACTCATGTATTTTGTCAGCTTGGAGACCATTTTTATTTCCTTCCCTTTTTTGGCTGTTTTCTGGGCAAGCGAATTTGCTAAATATCTGTGTCTGATTGGAATAGCAATAATCTCTAAGATGCCAGTGGGTATTTTCATTGTAAAAATGAATACAAGTTGTTCTACTTCAGTAGGGAATAGAAAAATAGTTGTCCTTTGAGACAGATTTACTTCTGAGGTAATTGTGCCATAGTTTAAAAACTTAAACCTTTTGCTTTTTGGATCAAAAAAATAGTTATTTCTTAAATTTTGTGTAAGTTAATACTGTTTACATTTATGATGTATTTTTAAAGACACATTTAAGAACAAGTCACTCAGACAAACTGTAGGAAAAATACTTTTACAAAAACATGTTATAGAAATAAAAAAATGCCAATTTAAAAAAAAACAGAACTACTACAGATTAAAATAGCCTATGAGTCTAAAAGGTCATTTTAAGCATATACTAAGGGAATGGGTAGAAACTTTACCTAGCCTTTATATTTCAATTCTATAAACGTACAAATTTAAGCCTGCTGTTTTGATATATTTCTCAAAATTTTATGTGGTTTTTCAAGGCTCCACCTTTCAATTACCACAACAGGATTCCCACCCTCTTAACAGTCACAGTGGGGGATAAGTTTCTAATACATAAAACTTGGGGGACACAATTCAAGTTCCAGTGAGTTTTGGGGGTCATAATTCAATCCACAACATACATATATATGTAAAATAAATACGGTATATTTATGTAGATGTAGATCACATTTGTTTGTCCATTCGTCTGTTGATGGACATGTAGGTGTACAGGTATTTTCAAGTCTCTGCTTCCAATTCATGTGGTAATTTTATGGTTAGCTTTTTGAGGAACCTCCAAACTGTTTTCCATAGCAGCTGAATCAAGCATTAATTTTATTCTATTACACTGCATAAAATATGTAAAAGATTAGGCTGAATGAATACTGGCTTTAGCATATCAGATATTTTTCTTAAAAGAAAGAAAAGAAACAGAAAGCCATATGTGTTATGTGTGAGAACATGTGTATGTATAAAGAGCCACCTCTTAAAGTGAATTAAAAAAAAAATTAAGCCTTTTGGTTGTACGGAATCCCAGTTTTGCTGTAATAT